GATCACCTGAGGTCAGGAATTCGAGACCAGCCTGCCCAACCTGGTGAAACCCCATCTCTACTAAAAATACTAAAATGAACCAGGCTCAGTGGCAGGTGCCTGTAATCCCAGCTTACTCTGGAGGCTGAGGCAGGAGAATCGCTTGAACCCAGGAGGCGAAGGTTGCAGCGAGTTGAGTTGTGCCACTGCACTCCAGCCTGGGCAACAGAACAAGACTCTGTCTCGGGGAGAAAAAAAAAAAGAAGTTAACTAGGCCATGAGGCCAGGCGCAATGGTTCACACTTGTAATCCCAGCACTTTAGGAAGCCAAAGTGGGAGAATCGCTTGAGCCCAGGAGTTCAAGACCAGCCTGGGCAACATAGTGAGACTCCATCTCTACCAAAAAAAAAAAAAAAAAACTCTAGTGATATGGTTTGGCTGTGTCCTCACCCAAATCTCATCTTGAATTGTAGCTCCCATAATTCCCACATGTCATGAGAGGGACCGGGTGGGAGGTAATTGAATCATGGGGGCGGGTCTTTCCTGTGCTCTTCTCGTGATGGTAAATAAGTTTCACAAGCACTGATGGTTTTATAAAGGGGAATCCCCCGGACACACTACCTTGCCTGCCGCCATGTAAGACGTGACTTTGTGCCTCATTCGCCTTCCACCATGATTGTGAGGTCTCGCCAGCCACGTGGAATTGTGAGTCCATTAAACCACTTTCCTTTATAAATGAACCAGTCTCGGATATGTCTTTATTAGCAGCATGAGAACAGACTAATACACCTAGCTGGGCATGGTGGTACGTGCCTGTGGTCCCAGTTATCTAGGAGGCTGAGGTGGGAGGATCACTTGAGCCCACGAAATCGAGGCTGCAGTGAGTCATGATGGTGTCACTGAACTTTAGCCTGGGTGACACAGTGAGACCCTGTCTCTGAAAAAAAAAAAAAGAAAAAAAAATTTTTTTTGGCCAGGCACTGTGGCTCATTCCTGTAATCCCAGCCCTTTGGGAGGCTGAGGCAGGCAGATCACTTGAGGACCGGAGTTCGAGACCAGCCTGGCCAACATGGTGAAACCCTGTCTCTATTAAAAACACAAAAATTAGCCGGGCATCAGGGTACACGCCTGTAATCCCAGCTACTCAGGAGGCTAAGGCATGAGAACCTCTTGAACCCAGGAGGCAGAGGTTGCAGTGAGCCAAGATCACACCATGCTGCTCCAGCCTGGCAACAGAGTGAGACTCTGTCTCAAATAATAATAATAATAATTTTATAAATAAATTAATTAACACACTATTAAACATTTTAAAGAAATTAAGTAAAGAGAGGCTCATGAATTTTTGTTGTTGTTGTTTAGATAGGCTCCCGCTCTGTTGCCTGGGCTGGAGTACAGTGGTGCAATCTCGATTCACTGCAGCCTCTGCCTCCCAGGTTCAAGCAATTCTCCCACCTCAGCCTCCCGAGTAGCTGGGATTACAGGCATAACACCACACATGGCTGAATATTTTTTTAAAATAGAGGAGAAAGAGGGAAAAGTCCATGGTGATTCCTGGTTATCTTAGGGGTAGTCGGAGGAAACCTGGAACAGATAGATATATTTTTAAAAAACAGATTTTTTTTTTTTTTTTTTTTTGAGACAGAGTTTTGCTCTTGTTGCTCAGGCTGGAGTGCAATGGCACGATATTGGCTCACTGCAACCTCCGCCTCCCGGGTTCAAGCAATTCTCCTGCCTTAGCCTCCCAAGTAGCTGGGATTACAGGCATGTGCCACCACGCCTGGCTAATTTTGCATTTTTAGTAGAGACAGGGTTTCTCCATGTTGATCAGGCTGGTCTCAAACTCCTGACCTCAGGTGATCTGTCTGCCTTGGCCTCCCAAAGTGCTGGGATTACAGGCATGAGCCACTGCGCCTGGCCAAAAAGCAGATGTATTAAGATATAATTCACATACCATAAAATTCACCCTTTCAATGTGTAAAATTCAGTGGTTTTTATGATTATTCACAGAGTTGTACAACCATCACCATTATATAATTTAAGAACCTTTCAATACTCCAAAAAGAAACTCCCATCCACTCACTGTTTGTTCACTTTCTCAGTCCCTGCTTCCTGCCCCACCTCACCGGCCCTATCCCCAGGCAACTGCTAATCTGCATTCTGATGGTTATGCCTATTGTGAACAATTCAAATAATGGAATTATATAATATCTGGTCTTTGTGACTGGCTTCCTTCACTTAGCATTATGTTTTCAAGGTTCATGTAAGCTGTATCCCATATCAGTACTTCATTTCTTCTTATTGCCAAGTAACATTTCAATGTATGGATATACCACCTTTTGTTTATCCATTCATCAATGTGTGGTACATTTGAGTTGCTTCCACATTTCAGCTATTATGAATAACGCTGCTGTATTTGTGTATAAGTTTTTGTATGAACATATGTTTTCATTTCTCTTGATAATATTAAGAGTAGAGGCTGGGAGCAGTGGCTCACACCTATAATCCCCCTCAGTACTTTGGGAGGCGGAGTTTGAAAGATTGCTTGAGTCCAAGAGTTTGAGACCAGTCCAGGAAACATAGGGAGATCCCATCTTTACCAAAAATTTACCAAAAATTAAAAAAAAAAAAAAAAAGCCAGGCATGGGGGTGTGGGCCAACTACTCGGAAGGCCGAGGTGGGAGGATGGCTCCAGCCCAGGAGGTTGAGGCAGCAATGAGCTGTGATTGCATCACTGCACTCCAGCCTAGGTGACAAGAGTTAGACCCTGTGTGAAAAAAAAAAAAAAAAAAAGAATGGAATTGCTTGGTCATATGGTATATTAAGAAAAGAGGTTTAACTGATTCATAGTTCTGCAGGTTTAACAGGAAGCATGACTGGGAGGCTTCAGGAAACTTACAATCATGGCAGAAGGCAAAGGGGAAGCAAAGCACCTCTTCACGTGGTGGCAGAAGAAAGAGGGAGCAAAGGCGGAAGTGCCACACACTTTTAAACCATCAGATCTCACTCACTATCACAGGACATCAGAACTCACCATCATAGAACAGCAACGGGGAAATCCACCCCCGTCATCAAATCACCTCCCGCCAGGTCTCTCCCCCAACATTGGGAATTACAATTCAACATGAGATTTGGGTGGGGACACAGAGCCAACCTGTATCATATTACGGTAACTCTCTGTTTAAAGTTTTGAGGACCTGTCAAACTTTTCCAAAGTGGCTGCACTATTTTACGTTCCCACCTACAATGTACAAGCATTCCAATTTCTCTACATCCTCACTAACTCTTGTTATTGTCTATTTGGTTATAGCTATCCTAGTGGGTAAGAAGTGGTATCTCATGGTTTGGAGCAGAGTTCATGACTGTAGATTGGATTTCTACCTTGAACTCCACAAATAAAGTCCCTTTCATCCTCAACCTTCACCCAGCCTCTGCCAAGTCTCTCAGATCCCGGGTGGGAATGGGCTTCTGTCTGTGAGCAAGGATAGGCTTAAGTCAGTTCCACCTGTCAGACCCAGGCCTGCTCTTTCCCCTGTGGGATAGCCTCCAAAAAAATCAGGGTGGGGGTCTTAGAATCTACCCACTATGAAGGAAATTATTTTTCCTATGAACTCAGCCTGGCCCTGCCCATTTAGACAGGTTTCTATCCTTGTGTTGGAAGGAACTAGACTCATTCTCCCTCAACTTTTCTGGATTCCCTCCAGAGAAACACTCTCACCTATGGCGGCTTCTCTTTGTTGGCCTGGGAGGAATTTTTAATTGGTCTTTGTTATAAACAGGCATTTAAGGGTGGTTCATTTTGTACATGGGCTGTAAATTCCACCTGCCACACTGACTCTGACTTCTATTTTAAAACTAACATATTCTCAGCTCTTCATCTGAAGGAATAGCCCTGTGTTATCATTGGTACATAACTGGGTGATGGGTGTAAAAAGTCCTACTTTAGGAGTCTGTGTTGATGGCATTTTGAGGGGTGGTCCCCAAGGTACATGTATGTCTGGTGAGCCAAGAAGAGCCTAGAGATGTGAGTGCCACTAATATATGGAGGCTTGGCCATCAACTGGGTTCAGTTATCTTTCCTCTGCCAGTGATGAGATTGCCAGAGACACCATCCCCCTTGAGAAGGGGCCTGGGTAGGAAGTTCAAGGTCAGGTGAATAGATCAAAATCTCCCAACTTATTTTATATTTTATTTTATTTTTTTGAGACAGAGTCTCACTCTGTCACCCAGGCTGGAGTACAGTGGTATGATCTCAGCTCACTGCAGCCTCCACCTCCTGGGTTCAAGCAATTCTCCTGCCTCAGCCTCCCACGTATCTGGGATTACAGGTGCCGCCCCCATGCCCGGCTAATTTTTGTAGTTTTAGTAGAGACGGGGTTTCACCATGTTGCCCACGCTGGTCTCGAACTACTGATCTCAAGTGATCCACTTACCTTGGCCTCCCAAAGTGCTGGGATTAGAGGTGTGAGCCACCATGCCCGGCCAAAATCTCCCAACTTTTAAATGTCTGGAACTAATTCAAAAGTTTTAAAGCATGTGAAGGACAAACAGAATATGTATGGGGGTCAGATTCAACCCGCAAGCCCCAGCTCTACCAGCTCACTGGTTTTGGTTTTTTGTTTTTGTTTTTTGAGATGGAGAGTTTCACTCTTGTTGCCCAGGCTAGAGTGTGATGGCATGATCTCGGCTCACTGCAACCTCTGCCTCCCAGGTTCAAGCGATTCTCCTACCTCAGCCTCAAAAGTAGCTGGGATTACAGGCACCCGCCACCATGCCCAGCTAATTTTTTGTATTTTTAGTAGAGATGGGGTTTCATACGTTGGCCAGCCTGGTCTCGAACTCCTGATCTCATGATCTGCCCACCTTGGCCTCCCAAAGCACTGGGATTACAGGTGTGAGGCACTGCACCCGGCCTAGCCCACTAGTTTTTAGGACAAGACTATACAGTCTTTAACTTTGAATTCCCCCAAATTAGTACAGGGTTTAGTACAGAGAAAGAACTTGATACATTTTTATACACTTTTGAAGAATAAATTGATATTTATTTAGTACTCACTGTCAGCCAAGCACTTAAACACTTTACATTCATTACCCCCATGGCATCCTCATAGCCTTCTGAGGTAGAAAGACTTACTGAAGGTTCAGTAAAGTGGGGAGGAAGGCACGACTTGAACTCAGGTCTGTCTGACTCCAGATTTCTTAGAAAGGTAGAATCTTTCACTTGGGAGACAGTATGGTTAAGATCATGTTCTCTGGGCTGGGCACAGTGGCTCACATCTGTAATCCCAGCACTTTGGGAGGCGGAGGCAGGAGGATTGCTTGAGCCCAGGAGTTCAAGACCAGCCTGGGCAAAATAGTGGGACTCCATCTCTGCAAAACATAAGAAAATTAGCTGGGAGTGGTCGGCCACACCTGTAGTCCGAGCTACTTGAGAGGCTGAGGCAGGAGGATATACTGAGCCCAGCAACTCAAGGCTGCAAAAGAGTCATGATTGCACCCCTGCACCCCAACCTGGGTAACAGAGTGAGACCCTATCTCAAAAAAAGAAAGAAAGAAAAGAAAAGAAAAGAAAGAAAGAAAGGAAGGAAGGAAGGAAGGAAGGAAGGAAGGAAGGAAGGAAGGAAGGAAGGAAGGAAGGAAGATCATGTTCTCTGGGTTTAAGTTCTGGATTAGTCACTTTCTATGTGTCATCTTGGGCAACTTACATATCTAAGCCTCCATTTTCTTTTCTGTAAAATGTGGATAAAAAGAGTTAACTACTCACAAGGCTGTTACAAGGGATAAATGGGATAAATTGGCACAGAGGAGCTAATCAATAAATAATAACCATTATTATTATCCCAGTGTTTATCTCCTTAGGGTTATTAAATCACCACCTTAGCCTACAAACAGGCACATTCTAGTGGAATATCTTGTTACTAGAGAAGAGAGGGAAGAAATGTAGGCAGTCACTTCAGCTATCAGATGGCTGCCTTCTGGGCCAACAGCACGTTTGATAGGAACGAAAATGATCAAAACAAATGACAGGGCTCAGGGCAAGGGGCAAACTGTTCCCCTGCCAGGCTGTTTGATAGAAAAAGGAATGGTTATCTTGGTTCTAAAGCTTCAACCACACTGGATCCTTGTGTTTTCACAACCCTTAAGGTTAGAGCCAACTTTCAAAAAGAATAATTAAATCGGGAAAGAAATGGGGTCAGCAGGTTTCGTAGTGCTTTTAAACAGAAAGTCTCAGAACTCATGGAGGGAAGTAGCTGACAGCAAAACTGCTTTCCTACTCATCAACCCAAAGAACTGCTTAATTCCAGAAGAAGACAGAGGAGCACGTCTCACCAAACACAAGTTGACCCTAACTCTTAAGCCATCTACAGCCAAAAAACTGATTCTGTACCTGGTTGATCATGCCTGTAAAAAATAAAAAATAAAAAAATTGATTCTGCCTATAAAATGACTGACACATTTCAAAACATTTTCGGCTTACTTAATAAAAATTACTGTTCTATTTAGTAATCACATAAAAACAGAGATTGCATTCATGATTTTAATAATGAAATGCCAAAATTAATATCCTGAAAGATGTGTACAATCTACATAAAGACAACTTCAAAATGTTATTAAAAGATATGAAGGAAGATTTTAATAAGTTAAAATCTAAACAGTGTTCCCGGCCAAAAGCGGTGGCTCACGTCTGTAATCCCAACAGTTTGGGAGCCCAAGGCAGGCAGATCACTTGAGTTCAGGGGTTCAAAACCAGCCTGGCCAACATGGTGAAACCCCATGTCTACTAAAAATACAAAAATTAGCCAAGTGTGATGGTGCACGCCTGTAATCCCAGCTACTTAGCAGGCTGAGGCAGGAGAATCGCTTGAACCCAGGAGGCAGAGGTTGTAGGGAGCCAAGATCATGCAACTGCACTCCAGCCCAGGCAACACAGCAAGACTCCATCACACAAAAACAAAAACCAGTGTTCTTGAGAAGACATAAAATTGTAAAGATATTGGCTCTCTCAAAATTAATTTATGGACAATTCAATGCCAACCAAAATGCCTATAGATATTTTTCATAGAACGCAACAAAATAATTCTAAATTTCATGTGGAAAAAAAATGAAGAGATACTATATTATACTTTTTATTCACTTATTCATTTTATTACTTTTGCATTTTACTTAACTTTGCTTCTACAGCTTTATTGAAATGTAGTTCACACATCATAAAATCACCTTATTAAAGTATGCAGATTAGTGGTGTTTAGTATATTCAAAGTTGAACAACCATCACCACTAATTTTTCAACCCTCACCCAAAAGAAACTCATACCCATTAACAATTATTCACCTTTCCTAACACCCCCACACCAGCCCTAGGTAAATACTTTTTGCCTCTATGGATTTGTTTATTCTAAACATTTTATATAAAGGTAATAATACAATATCTGGTCTTTTGTGACAGGCTTCTTTCATTTAGCACAATGTTTTCAAGGCTTCTGTAATAACAAATTTAACCTTGTCCAAAGAGAGATCTGGCTTTTGTCCTTAACTTCTTGGAAGTAATCTCTAAACTCCTGAAATGTCATGTCTAATAGGAATGTCTTTGTTTCCCTGAAGGTCTTGGGACTTTTCACTTTCTTGATGATGTCCTTTGAAGCACAAAATCTTAACTTTTTATTTAGTCCAATTTCTCTATGTTTTCCTTCGTTGCTCATGCTTTTGGTATCTTACCTAAGAATTCTTTGCCAAATCCAAGATCATGAAGATTGACCCCTGTGTTTTCTTCTAAGAGTTTTACAGTTTTAGTTTTCACATTTAGGTCTTTGAGTTATTTTGAGTTAATTTTTGTATAGGGCGTAAAGCAAGGGTCCAACTGCATTCTTTTGCATTTAGACATACAGTTTCCCAGCACCATTTGTTGAAAAAACAATTTCAATAATAGTTTTAGATGGTCTTGGTACCCTTGTTAAAAATCAGTTCACCATAAACATATGGGTTTATTTCAGGACTCTCAATTTTATTCCATTGATCTATGAGTCTATCCTTATGCCAGTACCACACTTGGATTACTATAGCTTTGTAGTAGGTTTTTGAAATTGGGAAATGTGAGTTCTACAACTTCGCTCTTCTTAAATTTTTATTGCAAAAATTTTCAGGGCTGGGTGCAGTGGCTTATGTCACTTCGGGATGCCAGGCAGGAGGATCACTTCGGTCCAGGAGTTCAAGACCAGCCTGGGAAACATAGTGAGACCCTGTCTCTACAAAAAATAAAAAATTAGCCAGGCATGGTGGCACATGCCTATAGTCCTAGCTACTTGGGAGGCTGAGGTAGGAGGATCACTTGAGCCTGGGAGACTCAGGCTGTAGTGAACCGTGATCATACCACTGAACTTCAGCTTGAGCAACAGAGTGAGACCCTGCCTCAAAGAAAAAAAGAGTTAATTTTCATATATACATATAAAAGTTGAAACAATAGTTCAGTAAACACCTATACATACCTATACATACTCCCCCATCTAGGCTTAAACAATTGTTAACATTCTGCTTTCCCTTTCATGCTCTCTCACACTCTCTCACTATAAATACACACACACACACACACACACATTTTTTGTTGTTGAGATAAACTATTTGAAAGTAAGTTGAGGCTGGGCATACTGGCTCATGCCTGCAATCCAAGCACTTTGGGAGGTCGGGTGGATGGAGCACCTGAGGTCAGTAGTTCGAGACCAGCCTGGCCAACATGGTAAAACTTTGTCTCTACTAAAAATGCAAAAATTAGCCAGTTATGGTGGCAGGCACCTGTAATCCCAGCTACTCGGGAGGCTGAGGCAGGAGAATCACTTGAACCTGGGAGGCAGAGGTTGCAGTAAGCCAAGATTGCGCCACTGCACTCCAGCTTGGGTGACAAGAGCAAAATTCTGTCTCCAAACAAAAAACAAACAAAAAAGAAGAAAGTAAGTTGACACATTTCATCCCCAAACTCTCTGGCATGCATCTCCTAAGAATAAGGACGTTCTTCTACTTAACTACGATGTCATTAATACTCCTAAGATATGTAGCAAAAAATTCCATAATGTAGTCTATCACCACTCCATATGCAACTTTCTCCAAATGTTCCACGAATATTTTTTATAGTTTTCCCCAACTGAACCAGAATCCCATCAAGGTTTACTAATTTTATGTGGCATGTCTTTTCAATCTGTTTTCATCTATTCTATTGACATCCATTCCATGACATTGACATTTTGTAGAGTCTCAGCCAGTTGTCTTGTAGAATGTCTCACATTCTGGATTTTTCTGATTGTTTCCTCATGCTTTTAAACTTGTTACTCTGTCCCCTGAATTTCTTGTGAACTGGAAGTTAGGTCTGGTTTGGTCAGAAAATTGGGGAACTTCCAGCCAGGGGCAGTGGCTCATGCCTGTAATCCCAGCACTTTGGGAGGCCAAGGTGGGCGGATCACTTGAGGCCAGGAGTTCAAGACTAGCCTGGCCAACATGGTGAAACCTCATCTCTACTAAAAATACAAAAATTAGCCGGGCGTGCTTGCTCATGCCTGTAATCCCAGCTACTTGGAAGGCTGAGGCAGGAGAATCGCTTGAACCAGGGAGGCAGAGGTTGCAGTAAGATGAAATCGCACCACTGTACTCCACCCTGGGCAACAGAGGAAGACTCGGTCTCAAAAAAAAAAGAAAGAAAACTGGGGAACTTCCTATTAGAAGCACCTAGTGTCACACTGTTCCACTGTTAGTGAAGCAAAAGTGATGGCAGCCAAATCTCTCCATCGTAAAGGTATGTTATTTCTTTCGCAGTTCCTAAGTAATCATTGACTCTAGCCTTTTTAACTATACTTTAATGCAAACCAATATCTTAATTTTAAAAAAGTGATTTTTTTTTGAGACAGAGTCTGGCTGTGTTGCCCAGGCTGGAGTGCAGTGGCCGGATCTCAGCTCACTGCAAGCTCCGCCTCCTGGGTTTACGCCATTCTCCTGCCTCAGCCTCCCGAGTAGCTGGGACTACAGGCGCCCGCCATCACGCCTGGCTAGTTTTTTGTATTTTTTTTAGTAAAGACGGGGTTTCACCGTGTTAGCCAGGATGGTCTCGATCTCCTGACCTCGTGATCTGCCCGTCTCAGCCTCCCAAAGTGCTGGGATTATAGGCTTGAGCCACCGCGCCTGGCCAAAAAAAAGTGTTTTAAACATTGAGAGGGCATGCAAAACACATCCAAAAAGTAAGAACAGTGAGGTGGGGCAGCTCTACTTTTTAATCAGAGAATGATTATAATAATATAGCCATAATAACTAAAGCATAATGGCATCAGAGCATAAAGTACTGGCATTGAAATACATTTAAACATACATCCTATAGTAGAAAATGTTAGTTGGAATGTACCCCAGAAATAAAATTGAGTTCAACTGCCTCACTTTGCAGATGCAAAACCTGAACCTTAATAAATTTTATTAAGGCCAATTCATTAAGGCCAGAAAGCATAAGTAATTTTTGAGTGCTTATTCTATGCTGGGCATTGTTCTAAGCACTTCACATGATTAACTCATTTAATCCTCCCAATAGTTTTATTGAGGATAGGTTATACTGATTCCACGCCCCCTATCTTTTTTTTTTTTTTTTGGCCAGTGAGCAAACTGAGATGGAAAGAAGTTAAGTGACTCATCCAGGATCCACAGCTCATAAATTAGGGAGCTGGGCTCAGAAGTCAGGAAAGCTGACTCTAGAATCTGTGCTTAACTGGTCCTCCCTATCACCTCACAAGCTATACTATTTGTGGCTGCATAGCCACACCTACTTAGGAATCAAATTAGGCCCTAGATTCTCCAAGAACAATTCTACTCTCTATCCAGAATTCTAAGACTGGAGTGAATTGATTGCTTCTTGCAACCTGGCGCATTACTGATTCCAGCATGCACTGGGCTCTCTATATGAGTAGGCCGCTGCTAATTACCTATGATAATGAGGGATGGATAGGCACTGAAGATTCAGCATAGCTGAACACCAAACCCCCTCCCCCAAAAAAACAAAAAGAAAGCACTTGGCCTTTGGGTATAATATTGTATCACGTTTGTAGTAGATTTGCTTTCTTAATTATGTTTTGATAGGATTGCTATTAAAGTCAGTTTCTATTCTCTACACACCCCCAAAACAGAGAGGGACTATGACCGGTGGAAATGTCTTGCATGATATGCCTCTGTGGAAAATGAGAGTGGATTGCAAAAGCTCTTCTCCACCCTGTTCTTTTCATCCTGCATAGGTCTTGGTCTATGTCTTACTGATTTCCCATGTTAATTATTTTAACCTTGTCCTCAGTAGCCTCCTTTGTCTCTCATTGCCATAGAAACCCATTCTGCCTTAAGAATGTCTTTCTTGCCTATTCCTTTGACCCAGGCCCTCTACTTAAGTCCTTCTTCAGCTGCAAATCACCTGCTGAATTAAATCTAAGCTCCTTGATCTTGGCTTCCAGGACGTTCTATAATTTGCTTCTCTGTTTTTCTCCTTTTACAAATAATACATTCCTGGAGCAGAGGTTAAAGTAGATCACTGTCAACCAAAATATTAACTGTAATAACTAACATATTTACATAGAACTTAAGAATTAAGTAAAAACATATCCACCTACATTACCTCATTTAAGGCTCATACTCTGCTGTATTACATATAATTATTTTACATTTATATAAATATAGATAAAGCAGATAACATGATCAGCATTTTAAGTTCAATAAAACCGGGGCCCAAATAAATTAAATGACTTGCCCTATAAGAATTTATTGGTGCTATGGGTGCTGACGAGTTGGTGGGTGCGGCACACCAACATGGCACAAGTATACATATGTAACAAACCTGCACGTTATGCACATGTACCCTAAAACTTAAAGTATAATAATAATTTAAAAAATTTAAAAAAATTACAGCTACAAAAAAAAAAAGAATTTATTGGTGCTGAAGCTACATCTTTCTTTTTTTTTTTTTTTTTGAGACAGCATTTTGCTCTTGTTGCCAAGGCTGGAGTGCAGTGGTGCAATCTCAGCTCACCACAACTTCCACCTCCTGAGTTCAAGCGTTTCTCCTGCCTCTGCCTCCCGAGTACTGGGATTACAGGCATGCACCACTATGCCCGGCTAATTTTGTATTTTTAGTAGAGACGGAGTTTCTCCACGTTGGTCATGCTGGTCTCGAACTCCCGACCTCAGGTGATCTGCCTGCCTCCGCCTCCCAAAGTGCTGGGATTATGGGCACAAGCCACCATAACCGGCCAAAGCTACATCTTAAACTCTAATCTTCAGGCTCCCAGGCCATGCATGTTATATTACACAATGTGATGAATAATCCTGTATTTACCAAAAGTGTTTTTGGTTTACATGCTGTGGCAGGCAGAATTCCAGGATATCCTCCAAGATCTCCTCCTCACCCCACCCCCACAGTACATGACCTACATAACCCCTGGGGCCGTGACTATGAAGAGAGATCACTCCCCTGATTCTGTTATGCGGTGTGGCAGAGTTGATCTTTTTTTTTTTTTGGAGACAGAATTTTACTGTCACGCAGGCTGGAGTGCAATGATGCCATCTCGGCTCACTGCAACCTCCACCTCCTGGGTTAAAGCAATTCTTGTATCTCAGCCTCCCTAGTAGCTGGGAAAACAGGAGCACACCACCACACCCAGCTTTTTTTTTTTTTTTTTTTTTTTTTTTTGAGACGGAGTCTCACTCTGTCGCCAGGCTGGAGTGCAGTGGTGTGATCTCGGCTCACTGCAACCTCCGTCTCCCGATTCACACGATTCTCCTGCCTCAGCCTCCCGAGTAGCTGGGACTACAGGAGCACACCACCACACCCAGATAATTTTTGTATTTTTAGTAGAGACAGAGTTTCACCATGTTGCCCAGGCTAGTGTGGAACTCCTGAGCTCAGACAATCCGACCGCCCCGGCTTCCCAAAGTGCTAGGATTACAGGTGTGAGCTACCGCGCCCGGCCAAGAGTTGATCTCAAAACAGGGAGATTATCCAGGTGAGCCTGATCTAATCACACGAGCCCTTTAAAAGCAGAGCATTTTTCTCCAACAGTGGCAGAAGAGGAGACGGAAAGATGTGCTTCAGCTGGCCCGGGAGCAAGCAAACATCCATGTTGTGAACTACCAATAAATAGGGTTCATGTGGGAAGGAGTTGAGAGACCCCTAGGAGCTGAGGGTGGCCACCACTAGCAGCACACAACAAAACAGGGAAGTCGATCCCACAACCGCCAGGAACTGATTTCTGCAAACAAGAATGAGTGAGGAGATGGATTTTTCTCCAGAGCCTCCTATGAGATTTCAGCCTTGTCATACCCTGGGCAGGGAACCCAGACGCTCGGTAAATTACCAAGGATTACAAAATATCTCCCCAGGAGATTGTTTTGGGTGGTAGGAGGATACGGTTTAAAGAAAAGTTTTGAGTATGAATGTTTTCAGAGTCCAAGAACTCTCCATTAGCCAGTCTCACTATTACCTATCGTTTTAAACTCCCTATCACCCTTTCACTTACAGTAGCTGTCCCGGGGAAGCTTTTGTATTGTGTACCCTTTCTGGGGGAATGGGGCTGAGTAAGGAACGTAATAAAGCGGCCTAAACAGCATCTCCCTCTATCTTTGATATTTTGCCTAGAGAACGCCCTATCATGTCGCATATAAGCGATCGAGTTATGTATTTGTTGCTAGCTGAAGAGATTATTCCTTGATAACCGCTTGGTCCGGTCAGAATAGAAACGAATGGTACTCCTGTTCAAAGAACTACAAATCCCAGAAGGCCTTTCGGCCAGAGCGCCTGCGCATCGCGCGCTCCTTCCTTTCCGCTCCTCATCATCTGGAAAGACCCGCCCCGCGGTGCTGTCGCTCGCGCTGGAAGAAGCGGAAGAAGATGGCGCTCACCAGGTGGGTTGTTGATTGGGGTCCTCGATACGGAAGGGTCTGGGAGTACCAATCTTTTTCATTTCTCTTCCCATACTCTTGGGGCGGTGACCTGACCCGGGGCACAGAATGACGTGGGCCAAAACTACGGCTACGTCCTCCCGCTGGCCGCCGCTACGACTAGGCCTAGTCGAAGCTGGGGTCTTTCAGCGGTTTCCCGGGTTTCGTTCACCCCTCACCAAGGCCGAAAGCCGCGGCGTGGCCTCAGACACTGAAGACTGCATTTTTCGCTTAAGCATCTTGAGGGGAGCGAACAACGCTCCCTCAGGTCCGCGGCTCGGGCGAACAAGAAGGGGTTGGGGACGGTAGTGGCTTATTTGGGCGGAGTGAAGCGCACGGGCTGCGACTGCGCGGCTTTCCGGCCGTTTGCCTGTGTCCCGAAACAAGAATTCCTGAAAAAAGGGACCCGGAGCTTGACAGAGATTTAAATGAGCCACAGTAGTGGCAGCTGTCTGCTGATATGCGCCACTGCTCCGCACTTTAACTTTGGAGCTTAGAATTTCTTCCGTAGATAGAACCACCTCAGAGTTTTGCTGTTTCCGGTTACCTTAGTAACTGTCTGTAAAGTGCTCCTTGCCTTTAAGAAAAAGATGCTTTTCAGTGGGAGAGTCCGAGAAGTTACGCTACTTCTGCTAGTCCCCAACCTTGCTGCCCCACCTTAAGTGGGAAAACTTTCCATGCGAACTGAACAGGAAAAGTCTAGTGTTCAGGAAGGTTGTAGAGAAAGTAGTCCTTTTAGGACATAAACTTGAGCCCTCTTAACACCCTTCATTCTCCTCACGCATGTTTTTTTGTTTTTTGGGGTTTTTTTTGTTTTTTTCTGGCCGATGACAGTATGAATCCAAAAAATTACTTTGGGAATTACTGTTGGTGCTTTGCTCTGTCCTGAGGATTGTGTACACAGAAGAAAATCTGTCTTTGGCAACAGGGAAGATGGGGTACAAGGTATACAGACATAAAACAATCACAGAACACAAAATGCACATTTGTGTTATACTAACCTTAGTGCAAAAAGAATTAGATGGAATAAGTTGTGTGGGCTGGAGAGTTTTCTTTCCCCTCTCCTTTCTAAAAATTTTTTTGCCTTTTTTTTTTTAAAAACTATTTTTTTGAGATGGAGTCTCGCTGTGTTGGCCAGGTTGGTCTTTAACTCTTGGCCTCAAGCAGTCCTCCCGTTTCGGCCTCCAAAAGTGCCAGGCGTGAGCCACCATGCCCGGCATCTGAATTTTTTTTTTAATAAAAAGCTAGAAATGGGGTGTCACTGCGTTGGCCAGGGTGGTCTTCAATTCCTGGCCTCCATCAGTCTTCTCACCTAGGCTTCCCAAACTGCTGGGATTGCAGGCATGAGTTACCATGCCCAGCCAAGAGTTTTTTCTTTAGTAAATGTTACAGGCAGCAAACATTTGAGTACCCTCCAGGTGTGAGACACTGTGTCATAGACTAGTAAAATTATGAGGGGAGACTTCGTGGAAAAGGTGGAATTTGAAATGGACACACAGGAAAAATTTCTAGAGATGTGATGGGTATTTTTTTATTTTATTTTTTGATGCAGGGTCTCACTCTTGCCCAGGCTGGAGTGCAGTGGCCCAATCACAGCCCACTGCATCTTCAACCTCCCAAGGCTCAGGTGATCCTCCTGCCTCAGAGTAACTGGGACTATAGACGCTTGCCTTGATGCCCAGTTAATTTTTGGTTTTTTAGTAGAGGTGGGGTTTTGCCATGTTGCCCAGCCTGTTCTTAAACTGGGCTTAACTGATCCACCCATCTCAGCCACCACATCGTGTGGCCTGTGATGGGTATTGTGTGCTTAAAATTGCAATGGCAGAATGCAGTATTCAAATGACCAGTCTTGGGGACTCCAGAGCTTTCCATACCTACCATCTGGGGTTCCTCAGTATTCTTTGTAACATCCTTTAAACCAGTAAATGCATTTCCCTGAGTTCTGTGAGCTACCCTAGCAAATTAGTTGAACCTGAGGATGAGGTCATGGGAACCCTGGTTTGTAGTCAGTTGGCCGGTGACCTGGACCTACTATTGGCATCTGAAGTGAGGGCAGTCTTGAGGGACTGAGCCCTCAACCTGTGACATCTGACACTATCTCCAGGTAGATAACATCAAAAATGAATTGAATTAGAGGACACTTGACTGGTGTCCAGTAAACAATTGATAGCTTGCTTGATACGTGGGGAAAAACCATCATGTATCTGGTATCAGAAGTGTTGTGTGTTGTTGATTGTTGAGTGAAATAATAGGAGAAACTGAATTTGTTTTAATTTTATACTGTATCCACATGGAGCTTACATTCTACTGGGATAGAAAGACTATGAGTAAAATCATAATGCAATTTCAGGTAATACACGCTAGGAATAAAAGAGGGTTAGAGAGTGACTCAAAGTTTGGGGTGAAGTGGCTATTTTGGGTAAGATGGTCAGAAAACAGCTCTAGAGAGAGGTAACTGAGCAGAGACATGAGTGCTAAGATGCAAGCTGTTGAAAGATCTGGGGCTACTCTAGGCATACTGCCTATGGGATAGCCCTGCTCCTCAAGGAGCAGTCAAAAAAGAAGAGATCTGGAGAAGAGTTTTCTATAAAAGCATACGAAAGTTTGTTCTGTGTTTTCGTTTTTGTTTTTTTGATTATGTTATGTTTGTTTTGTTTTTTGAGGCAGAGTCTCACTCTCACCCAGGCTGGAGTGCAGTGGAGCAATCTCAGCTCACTGCAAACTCCACCTCCCAGGTTCAAGTGATTTTCCTGCCTCAGCTGGGATTACAGGCATCCGCCACCATGCCTGGCTAATTTTTGTATTTTTAGTAGAGACAGGGCTTCACTATGTTGGCATGGCTGGTCTTGAACTCCTGGCCTCAAGTAATCCACCTGCTTTGACCTCCCAAAGTGTTGGGATTACAGGTGTGAGCCACCTCGCCCAGCCGGAAAAATTGTAATTGATTGAGACAGACAGACAGATTTTATGGCAGAAGAAATAGCCAGTGTAAAGATCCTGAGATGGCTTAAGGAAAGATAAGAAGGCTATAGCGAAATGAAGATGGTGAGTGCCGGGGAAGAGTGTATTTATTTCTCCTACAGCATTTAAGGAGCTCCAGCTGTGAGGTTAAAAGTCTTGGAGCATTAGGGATGAAAGAAGTATAAGATGTGATTCCCGCAGAGCTGCTCACAGTCTTGTGAAAACAGAGTAGATAAATGAGTAGATGATTGCAGTACAGTAAGATAATGTTGTAGTAGTGGTATATAGAGGGTTGTAGGGGAGCATAGAGACGGGCATTTAACCCAAACTGGAAGAGTCATGGTACAGCCCTAAAACTATCAAACATACAGAACCTGTATTGAAAGTGCCTAGATACTATGCCAACAGGTTCATGGATTTCTCTCATTTAATATTTATAAGAACCTTATGAAGTAGATACTCTTATGAACTATTATTACAGATGAGAAAACAGATTCAGAGAGGTAAGTAGCTTATCCAGGTTAGTAAGTGGCATAGGTCAGATCTGAATTCTAAGCCTAGCCATCACTTACCGCCCCGGACTGGATTAGATCCCTATCATGTAGACTCATAGCATCTGTATCTTAACATCATAACTTAACATGTGTAATTATAGATTTGTGTGATTTTTTTTTTTTTGGTCTCTGTCTCTGCAAGACTAAGCTGTCTTTCTCTGTTTATAGTCTCATGCCTAGCATAGTGCTTGAACCCAAATAATAAATATTTTTGAATAATTAATAAGCTCTGCTACTTAGATATGCTTACTATTCAAGAATCACAAAGGAACTAAGGTTGTTTTCTCCATATTCAGCCATCAGGATCCTTTTGTAGTACTTTAGAGTATCACTATAATACTTTAATACTTAAAAGTTGTTAAGAACAGTTTAGTAGAAAGGTTATCTTGACTAAAGAATAAGCTGCATCTTCAGGGCTTCTGCTTTGATTCTTTGGTCTCTAAGTTTTTTTGTTGTTGTTGTTTGTTTGTTTTAGAAGGAGTTTTGCTGTTGTTGCGCAGGCTAGAGTGCAATGACGCAATCTTGGCTCACTGTACCCTCCACCTACCGGGTTCAAGTGATTCTCCTGCCTCAGCCTCCCAAGTGGCTGGGATTACAGGCACGCACCATCACGCCCGGCTAATTTTGTATTTTTAGTAGAGACAGGGTTTCACCATGTTGGTCAGGCTGTTCTTGAACTCCTGAGCTCAGGTGATCCACCCACCTCGGCCTCCCAAAGTGCTGGGATTACAGGTGTGAGCCACCGTGGCTGGCCTGGCCTCTAAGTTTTAAATTTCATTCTAGATTCCCTTGGCACTTAAATACACAACTCGTGTTTATTTTATCTACCTCTTTGTTCTAATCCTAGTTCTTTTGTATTTACACTGAAGTAGTTTAAGGAGCGTAAGGGTAAAAATGTTAAAAATAAGGAGTAGCCAGGCATGGTGGCTCATGCCAGTAATCCTAGTACTTTGGGAGGGTGAGGCTGATGGATCACTTGAGGTTAGGAGTTTGAGACCAGCCTGACCAACATGGGCCAACATGACAAAAACCTGTCTCTACTAAAAATACAAAAATTAGGGGTGTGGTGGCACGCACCTGTAATCCCAGCTCCTTGGGAGACTGAGGCATGAGAATCACATGAATCCAGGAGACAGAGGTTTCAGTTAGTTGAGTTTGCTCCACTGCACTCGAGGCTGGGCAACAGCACGAGACTCTGTCTCAAAAAAAAATAAAAGGAGTATAAGAATAGCAAGTATATACTGGACAGTTTATCCCTGGATTTTTAGGAATGTTTACTTGCTTGTTATAAGAAATATGGAAACAGTCTGAGTGTGGTGGCTCACACCTGTAATCCTAGCACTTTGGGAGGCCGAGGCAGGTAGGTCATCTGCGGTCAGGAGTTCGAGACCAACCTGGCCAACATGGTGAAACCCTGTCTCTACTGAAAATACAAAAATTAGCCGGGTGTGATGCCGCACATCTGTAATCCCAGCTACTTGGGAGGGTGAGGCAGGAAAATTACTTGAACCCGGGAGGTGGGGGCTGCAGTGAGCCGAGATGGTGCCACTGCACTCCAGCCTGGGTGACACAGAGAGACTCTGTCTCAAAAAGAAAAAATAAAGACAAATATGGAAGCGTGGCCGAATGTGGTGGCTCACGCCTGTAATTCCAGCACTTTGAGAGGCCAAAGTCAGCAGATTACTTGAGGTCAAGTTCAAGACCAGCCTGGCCAACATGGTGAAACCCCATCTCTACTAAAGTTGCAAAAATTAGCGTGGTGTGGTGACACATGCCTGTCATCCCAGCTACTTGGGAGGCTGAGGCAGGAGAATCACTTGAACCCAGGAGGCAGAGGTTGCACAGAGTGGAGATGGTACCACTGTATTCCAGCCTGGGCAACAGAGTGAGACTCTTTCTCAAAAAAAAAAAAAAAAAGGGAAATACAGAAGCATAAATGCTTAAGAGTTTGTCTATTATCTGAAATATATGTTAATTTTTTATTCTGGACATCATTTGCTATTGTCCTAGTCAGATGTTTTTACTGTGTGTCTTTGAGTACTTCTGTCTTCCATGTTGTAAAATGACTAATATTGAGTACTACCATAAATCATTGAAAAATCGGCTGTTTCGCTGAAAAGTAAAAGCATTGTAGGAAAATTTGTCTCTGTGGCCAAGTTGCAGTGGTCAAATTAAACATAAGCGTTTTTTAAATTTCTGACTTTTATTATCTTTGCTTATAGCTTTTTACCTGCACCTACTCAGCTATCTCAGGACCAGCTTGAGGCTGAAGAAAAGGCAAGATCCCAAAGATCGCGGCAGACCTCACTGGTCTCCTCCCGAAGAGAGCCTCCCCCGTACGGATACCGGAAAGGCTGGATACCTCGGTTATTAGAGGTACATATGGATCTTAAGTTTAAATTTATTAAGTTGTGCTGAAATTTATAGCACACTATAACATAAATTTAAATGTTAGGACCTCTGATTATGAATGTCAGTGTGATAGAAATTCTGGTTATGTGCTCTCAAGATGTATATTTCACTCAGAAGATGTATCATTTTCTTTTTGCTTATTATCTGTCACTGCTTTGTGGTCACTAGAGAATTGTACTATTTGTCTAT